GACAAAATGGAGCTACTAGCATAATCAATTACTAGATTTTCTAGAAAACTTCTATTTCAGTTCTCTGCAATCTTCCATTTGTTCAAGCTTCATAGACTCCTCTAACAAAGGCAGTGCAGAAATATCGGTCTAAAAATGAAATTTCTGAGTGCTCGTGTGAAATTGACTATAACAGGTGTTCCTTAACTCCCTTAGTCCATCTTTACCGAAACTCCTTATTCATAAAATTTGCCATTGTCTGGCTAGCTGAATTCAGCTTTATTGTAATTTTCCTTTATCGGGCTAGCTGAAGGGTTCATCTCATCACAAAGTCTTTGACTTGACAATCACAGTGGAGCATACACCGAATTGCCAGGTACCCGATCAAGGTCATGGTTTGAATATAATCTATTCATAAAGCCAGGGCTTTCGAGTTTCCTCTATAACCAATTGCTTTAGCGGAATAGCTCAGCTTTATTGTATACATATAATATAATCATTTTTATCAGGCTAGCTGAATTATATCCATAAAGCCGGGGCGTTTAACCAATTGCTCTAGAGGGATAACTCAAGCTTTATTGTATACATATAATATTATAATCTGGGTATACGGATCCAATTTCCTAAGCTTGTCAAGAAGAACTTGTCATAGTCTAGGTGTTGTTGAAAGTCAGAAAATCTCATCGTTAGAGTTCAATTTCCAAGCAACTGACCTAAACTAGATTCACCTACCTGACTATTCCATCTGTAAAGATCATAATCATCCTTGAACATCATCAACAAAAGTGAAATATAGTTGGTTTTGTAACATTATACACAAAAGATGCCCCATGTTGTCCGCTCGTATACATACCTGAATACCAAGCCTCTTGTTTTATCCTTATGATAGAATAAGGCTATACCTGTCCTTGCAAGAAAATGGTATAGTTTTCGATTGTATTTTCTGGGGATAAGGTCAAGGTCCTTGTTTTATCAGGTTTCAATCATGTCACCTTGTCAAAGAACAATAACTCTGACCATCTACAGAGTTTTTTTAATTCAGTTGATATTCAAATAGTATCAAGTTGCAAATTTGATTCAATGCTCACCATCCTTAAAGTAACATGAATTTATTTAAACATCATTACAAAAAAACTGAGAAATGATGAAAAACAAGTTCAAACATGATGTTGCAAATGGAATAAAGCTTCATAATAGAATGAAATGATCTCTTCCTACCTAGGATGCCCCATTACCCATCTAATGTCGTGGCACTTAACTCAAACGGATGTTACATATTGCTCTTTGATACCCCACTCGAGCTCGTCATCCACTGTTCCACCAATTCCTCTGTTAACGTCCCATTAGCCACAAGCATCTCTATCTCCTTTAGCAGCGGCCTACAGTTTCCAGTAGAATGTCCCAATGCCCCCAAGTGGAAATCACAGACACTATCTTGATCATAGCTATGAGCAGAAGGGTCTGGTTGCACCTTCACTGGCCTCGGTGTGAGGTATTGACCTTCAATCAAATGGGGATACAGATCTGAGATAGGAGTTTGGAACACTTTTAAAGCATTTTTCGATCTTGAGACTTTCTTTGGACGTCTCGAGTAACCAGCTACCCCTTTTCTTTTACGATTTTGAGAGATCTGGACGTAACATTCATTCACCTTATCAGTTTGTTTCTTTTGATCGGTTGGTTTTTTAGAAGTGTCTTTCAAGTTTCCTTTGCTGATTGCATCCTCAATTAACTCTCCAGCTTTCATAAGATCCTTGAAGTTATTTGTCGACTTTCCCAACATTAACTCAAAGAAAGGAGCTGGAAGAGAATCGTGAAACATATATGATATTTCTTCTTCTAACAAAGGAGGCTGAACTTGTGCTGCCACTCCTCTCCATCTTAGGGCATATTCTTTAAAGCTCTCAGTAGCTTTCATTCTTATCCTTTGAAGGTCATGACATTTTGGGGCTAAGCCTTTAACATATTGATATTGCCCCATAAAAGCATCAGCTAAGTTAACCCATGTCTTGATCTGTTCTTTGTTCAAACGGTTATACCATACTATAACTGGCCCAGCAAGACTATCATGGAAGTAATGAATCAACAGATTGTCATTATTTAGGTACCCTTCCATCTTTCTACAAAACATCTTCAGATGAATTAGGGGACAACTAGTGCCATCATATTTTTCAAAATTAGGCACCCTAAATTCATGTGGGATGACCAAATCAGGAGACCAAACTGAGTTCTCTAGCTTCTAACTCCTTGTGAGGGGCATTAACAACCTTCATATCTTTAATGGCTTCATTCAACCACCTGAATTTGTTTTCAAATTGCTCAAAATTAACGAGGCTCATCCCTAGGTCTGAGTTAGATGCTCCAGGGCAAATTATCACTCTTGATGTTCCAGTCTGATGAGATTGATTTCCTTTATCCTTCATTTTCTCTTTACCAGCAGCCTGTGGTACCAGTACCTGGATCATTTGATTTGATACGCCTTGCAAAGAACCCGATGCTTGATTCCTTGTATCTTGTTGTGACCCGACTAACTGCTCTTGCAATTGATCTTGTGATCCCTTATGAGATTGCTCCATTGCTTCCATTTGCTTATTCACGATGATGAAGAAGTAGTATGAATGAAAGATCTTGTTATTACTGTCACATAACCTTCCATAAATTATTTCTGTGTTTTTTATAATTAATGTATGTAAAATGCTTAAATAAATACATGTAATGCAAATGCAAATACAAAAGGTGTCATTCCAGAGTGACCATATTAAAACAACTTTCATTGAACACAAAGGTCTCGATACATAAAAACAAACTTTACATATAATTGACAGCTTTCACTCCGACCTTTTCTATCTCCTTCAAAAGCCAATTTAATTTCCACTCATACTCGGGGGTCGAGTTGTCAATATGCTTCAATTCTCTTGCAAAGCCAGCTAAATCAACCCATTTTTGAGCCACATTGCTTGCTTGGGTCATAGTTTCTTTCATGACATTGTCTCTTTTCTCTATCTTGAGTGTCGATTCTCGGAGCTGTAGACACTGCTGTTGAATCTTCCTTATAAGAAAGTCATTGTGGTTATGAAGCTCTTGTATAAGATCACTGCAATCATCCACTATCTTCATCAACTTCTCGTTCTTGGCTCTAACGGCTTCAATCTCAGCGTCATTCTCCCACTTGTGGCGTTGATATGAAATTTCCATATTGGCAATAGACTTATTCAACATCTGATTCTCGGTCTGATATCTTCCCAAATTATCAACAACTATATTGCGTCTTTTTTCTGCAATTTTTAAATTATGAGAAAACTTCTCAACTTGACCTTCGTGCATCTTGCAATTCTTTCCCAACTGTTCAACATCATTTTTAAGTTTAGTGACCCCTATTATCCACTCCTCTGGGACATTTCCTATACCAACAAATTTAAAAGTTTGACTGATCCTTCGAAAATCATCTTGCATGGCTTCCATCTCTTTGCTCAATTTATTATTTTCACTTCTTAAATGACGAATCAGAGCTTCGTATTTTGGCAAACAATTTTCTTCATGGATGTTCTCACTGATACTCTTACCCTTGGTCGCTTTTGGTTCAAACTCAACAGGATAATTTGTTTTCAAACTGGGTTGTCTTTTCAATTCAAACTCCAATACTCCATGATCTAGAAGAAGTTGGACTCGACGTTTGAAGGTGGAACAATTCTCAATAGAATGTCCTTGAATCCCAGCATGATATTCACAACAAACGTGGACGTCATACCAACTTGGATATGGAGGTTGCAAAGGTTTCACATAATGCGGTGCCACTTCTCGGGCTTCTAACAGTTCATCATACAATTCCTTATATGATATTGGGATGGAATCACAACGAGATCCACCTCTCAACTTGGGTTGAATTGGAGTTTCCAATTTTATTTCCCCTGATGTTGGGAATAGACTATCAAACACCAACGAGTTTGGACTGCATGTCTTCTTTTCATCCTTATGAACTTCTATAGTTGCCACTATTTCCTTGGCATTTCCAAACAACTTGTTGATACGAATAATGATTATGCGTGGTTTCTCATTTTGGCTAGAATCAGCAGGTTCTAAAATAGTCCTTTGCGTATCTGACACCTCGAGATTGTTTTCATTGAGTTCTTTCTTTTCTTTGGTAGAAGTCTCTCTTCCTTTGGATAAAATATCTATTCTATCCATCATCTTGGACATTTGCTTTTTTATCTCTCTTATCTCATTGTGTTCTTCATTAGACATATGATCTTTATGTGCGCAACTCTCTATTATTTTCGAAGCTTTCTCAGGATGCCATTTCTCGACTGTGTTATAGTCTGTTTGATCACGAAACCCCTTGTTCGTCATGAAAACCTTTTACTATGATGAACACTCACAAATCAACACCTTTTGAATATGTCATGATCATGCAATTCGGACAAAGAGAAAAAAAACAACATAGAAACAAGTTAGTACAAATGAGATAACAAAATGACAACAAGCAACAATAGCAAAATAAATAAATTAATGCTAATAAGAATGCAAATGCAAATGCAAATCCACAAGGTGTTAATTCCAAAAGTGACCACCATAGAACAACCTTCATTTAGACAACAAGAATTCAGTACACCATGTAGTCAAAATATAAATGTGATTCTTCATTTCTTCATTTCCTTGAGCTGTACTCTTCATGGAATCTAATATTGCACCCAAAGTTGTCGGCGTACTTTATCACCTTTGATGACAGCTCCTTAAATTGAATCTTGAGGTCTCTATTTTTACTTTCAATATGAAGTAGTCTCATGTCTTTGTGAAGGGTCTTGTTATCCTTGGTGTAACTGTATCTATCTTCTGAAGGTATCTTGGCCTTCACTCTTTTAAAGGAAGTCTTCAATCAGCTTCAGATTTCTTCATTCATCGGATGTCCTTCTTCATGGATCATCTGAATATCTTTGAACCTCCTGATTTTGACTACATGGTTAAGAATTTCTTGTTTCAGTATGACCAACCTTCTTATTAGTCAATCACTTGCGAATTAACACCTTGTGATGACATGAAGATGCGAATGCAATAAAATCAAAATAAAATAGACATAGATAAAAAATGGGTTATTACACATAATATCAACAACAAGATAATAAATATCATAATCATTAAATAAAACCTACCCTTACATGTTGGCTACCCAATCATGTTTTAGTAGATCCTACCCAACATGATATCTACCCCCATGCTTTGTTTGAACATTAAAACCCTAACCGCATAATATCTAATTCACATGCTTGCTTGACAAATAAACCTAACCGCATGATTTCTAGTTCGCATGTATTTATTCGAAAAGTGAAAATAAATGACTCAAAAAGCTTTTCCTTGTGTACCATTCTCACGAGACTCTTAAGGTTTGGGTTAGGCTCGACCTAAGTTCGGGCTCTATGTTCACTATATGCTGGGTTCGGTTCTAAAGTAATAGGTTCTCGAATTGTCGTTGTCGGTGCCCCCTTGGGCTGTCGAACCCTCAATCCTGGCCCATCACAGGCTTTAGGGGATCGAGTTCAATTTCGAGGGAACACACCTCCTTATGTCCATGCGGAGGTGATTACCATCACGAGGACCATAAGGCGTAAGCTCCAGGAGCAATCCACTATCCCATGCGGAGGTGAAAACCACACGAGGGCATAGTCTCTCGCTCCTACTTAATTTGGACGGAGCGGGGTTTTAGCTCATGTCATGAAAATGCAGCTGTGCAGTGTGTGAGGAAAAGCGAAAAACAAACAATAAAAACACTGAAAATCAAATCTCAAAACACACAATTATTCTGAAACCATTAGCAAACAGATCAGTACATCTATTTAATTGTTAATCGAATTAAATTAAAAAACCAAAATACAAACAAAACTTATTAAAAACCAAACAAGGGATCAAAAACCAAATTAAAATGAATTTATAACTTTCAATTGCAAAGACAATTAATTAATCGACTATCGGTCTGACTCTCTAAAAAAAATTCCCAGTGGAGTCGCCAAGCTGTCGAAACGATTTTTCTTAAAGGTGAAATTTTAAAAACCGCATTAATTATTAATTTACCTCTTTCAATTGATTTTTAATTTAAAAACAAATGCGATTTAAAAAAACCTCTCGTTTCGAAAAATTTTAGATTTCCTTTATGATAAAAAAAATGGTTCGAAGAGTCGCCACCAATCCTTGATTAGGGTGTGATTGGGCACCCAAAAATGTTTTGTCATTTTAAATAAAAATTACTTTTAATTAAAACAACAAATTGAGGTATGCGTTACCAAAAAATGAGTTCGGGAGTCGGTTACGTGTGGGGGAAGGATTAGCACCCCCACAACACCCTAAATCGGTACCTAGTCGATTAATTAATGTGTTTGCAATGAACTTTAGAAATTCGAACTTAATTTGACTTTTGATCCCATAAAACAAAGATGTAAATTTGAAAACATTCAAAAGCACTCAAATAAATTAAATTGAAATTACCAAGTCGTTTTAGAAAGATAAAGAATGTTCGATTATTTACAAATATCGAGACCAGATCTTAAAAGTTATAACAACATTTTCTCGATAAATTTAAATAAACGAACATTTCCTTTTCTTTCGTTCCCAAATTTTAGGTGACAAATCAAATTTTTTGGTTTCACTTTTGGGATACACTTTTAATTTAAAATCGTCGAAACGGCTCTCTAATCAGTTAAGACAAGCCACTCAAGACAATTTTAAATTAAAAGGGTATTACCCTTAGTCTGATTATGTATTTATAAGTCGAGTTATGCGCATGAGGGCATCATACAAATTATGCAAAAAGGATGTCATGCAAAAATTAATTAAACAAATATTATGATTAAAAATATCATGCAAGTTGTGCAAAATGATGCATGCAGTTCGTAAATATACATATGCAAAATATATAAACCATATGCACAAAGATCCCAACAAGAATGTCTGTAGAAAGATGATATGTTGCTTTCATCAATGTAAATATGAAACTTTACATGGCAAGCAAGGAAATCAGAACACAAAGTGTCAACTAATACTTTATTATCGCATACTAAGAATGACCGAGGAGAGAAAAAAAATTAAGCTGTTACTTTTTAGTAACTAGCATATATATATATATATATATATATATATATATATATATATATATATATAAAGAGAGATAGTAAGAGAGAAATAGAACCAAGCCCAAACCAACTCAGTATGAGAGTCCTGACATGTTTCCATACCAAAAGAGTGACCCAAATGTTATGGTTTATGAACGAGATTCCACAATAGCAGACTCCATGATAGCTAGTTCCCATTTCCCAAGCATTGTTTCCTCCAAAGACTAGAATAGACGATGAAAAGCTGTACTTTTTAAACCTCATTATCCTGCCTCAGCTCTTACTTTCATTCTTGTTCATAGACCCGTCAGCTCCAGTGTATTTTTACTCGAGTAATACTCTTTGAAGAAATAACAGTTCAAAAGCCTAGACACAGTCACCTCCCTAGTCCCAATACATAGACTCTTTGACTAAAAGCTTAACAAAGCTATCCTAGTAACACTGACTCATTAAGGTTTTATTAGATTCTCTAGAGTTGAACCCATATGCATAATGAGACTTAGAAAAACGCAAGGTGGGGAAGAAAAGAACACAGGATCAAAACAAAATGCGTTTATATAAGACAAATCATGCACATTTTTTAACAGTGAAAGAATATAGTAGAACATGTTTTCAAGCCAGTATTTTACAAGTTGGTAAAGAGTGCTTGAAGTGTTTTACTGGACTAACAAAAACCCGGGAGGGATAAAGAATATAATATGAACAGATTTCATAATTTCCCAGCCTTATGTGGTTACAAGCGTATACATCACACTGATCGTTGACATGCAAAATGTAAATCGATAAAACGATGAGGAAACATATCACCGAAACGCAATGTCATGTAGCAAATAAGACAAAACCCAACAAGTAAAACTCAAATCCATTTCTCTCCAGTAGCTAAAACATCGAAAAGAAAGAAGAATGTTCGTCGTAAAGAAATGAAATCGTAACAAACACAACTCATAAAAGCAGAGCGAAAGCTAATCGAAGCTAAAATAGATTAAGAAATATAAATGATGGACAGAGAAATAGATGGAAAAGAGTACTCGGGTTTCTCTTGAGAAGTAGAAGATTGGCTCTTAGACTCTGCCAGTTCCCCCCTCTCTTTGTGTGTTCTCCTCTTTTCCTTGTTTGTGATGCCTTGAAAAAATTACCAATGCCAGTAATGCTTCATTTTTCCTTTTTTTTTGAGAACTGCCCACTCTCCAATTTTAAATCCTCCTCTATCCTATGAAAACCGAAACCCTTTTTTTTGTTAACTCCCGATAACCAATTTTTTTTATTTTCCTGGGAGTATTCACATGGGTTGGAAATTGCTCTGCAGGGTTACTGGGCTTGAGTTGGGCCTTCAACTGGTATGCTTCGGGTCTGCTCCAACCTAGCCCCGGACAAATCGAGTATCTACAGTTAAGAAACTAAGTAAATTATTTAAACTAGGTATTAAATGATAAAGAATATAAATTTACCATTTTAACTAAAAAAATAATATTAATCTCATTTACTTAAAGCTAAAAATAAAATATAATTATATAATACATACATGCATAAAAAATGTACATACCCCATACAAAACAATAATATAAATGTCACTACTTAAAAATAAAATTAAATATACTGTAAAAAGCCTAATCTTAAATTTAATACTGGCAAAAAGGATGAAAATAACAAATAATGAAGTTAGGCTTCCAAAATGTAAATTGAATAGTACCTTAATTAAACAAATTATGTAATTAAATCATAAATTAACAAAGTTACATACCAAATATAAGAACAATCATAAAATGAACAAAACCATAAACTTAAGACTAGAAAGAAAAACACTTAAATATGAATACCAAAATAAAAACATGAAAGATTCGATTGAAGGACTAAAACGTAACATGTCTAAAACTAAAGGATTTCGCACACTATTATCCCATTTACAAAACACGTACAAATTAATCCACTGAAACACATCTGTTTTGCTTTTCTAATAAATATAATATATAAAGTAAAAAACTAAACCTAATTTCATTTGCTTTTTACTTTTCCTTAAAACAAATCATATGCGCCATTATCTTCTCCTTCTCCATTCTCTCCCTTTCTTCTTTGTTCTGACTAGATACTCATCGAGGCAACCATGGACTTCCACTACTCCCGAGCTTCGAATGTGCTGCAGAGACTAACTAAAAAAACCTATACGACCCTAAAGAACCCTGCTTTTTTAACAATAATCCTTGATAGAAAATTACCACCATTTTAGGCCATAAATTGGCCAACTAATGCTCCGACCACCACAATAGGTGGTCGGGTTAAATGAAAGCTAGACTTAGACCTAAAAACCAAACTCTTTTCTACCCATAACTTCCTAAATCAACACATGCAAGATTAAAATCGGTCTCTCATCTGCTACCCCTAACTGTCGAGAGCCTCCCTAAATGACGACTCCGCCAACACTCACTCCGGTAAGGCCATACTATACCGACAAGAAGACCAACCACCAGGTAAACAATTAAACTCCCCTTTTTAAACTATTTTTTTAATTTCTCAATCTCTCCCTTAATCTTTCGAATAACGTCCATGTTCCAAGGAACACACTGCTCACCGACGCTCGGCCGACCACCATACGATGGTGGCACTCCTTACCTAAACTGCCACAGGACTTGACCGCCTAAGGTAACAAAGCTAAATCTATCTCTTTCATTTTTATTTCTTGCTTGGTTCGAATGATAAAAAAACTTGATATTTGATTCTTCAAAAATAAAGGAGAATGGTAGAAAAAATTACGTATTACTCTTTGTCTAAAAACGAAATGGAAGGCTTTATTTTTCATTTTCATTCATTTCGAAATAAGCACACACACACTGTTAATGCACTAGGAACCATAAAAAAATTCAATGAATGCCTCAAAGATAACATTTATTGTTTTGGAAAATGATAGGGAATTACACTTGTTACAATGCTTTTCTTTCTC